ACTGAAGCTGTTTTCGAAATAAATTATTTGTGAACATAATCAATTTGACCAATGAAAGTTTCACATCATCTTGTTAATATATGTAAACGATTGAACAATTAACTGAATTTGTTTATTAAACGAAATGATTTCAAGCTCACATTTTTTTATTTATCAAAAGAGTAAAGCTAAGACGGTTCATTTATTAAACAAATAACACCTTAGAGGGAATATATAATTTTTAATATATCACACATTTATATAGATATAAAACATGTAATTGTATTATAAAATAGATAAAATAAATAATAAATATGCTCTACAAAAGACATAACATTTCAGCTTTGATATTTTAAAATTGTGTTTGACATTATCTCAAATCACGAGACCCAACAACTATTGACACAATACTAATAGTTCTTGCAAATTTTTATCTGACTCCGTAAAATTACATACCACTCATGCTCTTCTATTAATAATTTCTTTTCAACCATCTCTTACACCATTCAATTAAGCTCTATAATATAAAAGTAAAAGCACCAAATATTACACTTTAAGAGGGTAGAAATTTACTTGAAAGATATAATGTAGTTATAAAGGATTATTAGATAGTCCATACTAATAATTAGTAATAATTATAGGATACATGTATAAATTCAATATGTTTTTTTATGTATTACATATTTTATGTAGTAAGAAAGACTAGTAATATATATAGTAGAAATAATTAAAAATTTGGGGGACAATAACCCCTCCTATACTATATTTAAATCCGTCCCTGCTTTCAACGATATATATTGCAAAAAAAATATAAATTATTATTCTATTGAGCTTCATATTGTATTGTATAATACCGGTACTTATTATGTATTTTAAATGCATAATTTTAACAAAATATATACCATTTTATAATAGGTATTTTTATATCGGTATATTTTAATACATAATTGTAACAAAATATATACCATTAAATTTATAATATAATTTTAGAAGTCTTTCAATTTTTTTATTTTATTTTTGTTTATGTAAATTAATTTGTCTTTGATAAAGTGTGTACAAATAAATACTAACAAACTATAATTTAATCAACGACTTGGATTATAAATTAAATTTTTTCTTCAAGTTTAGTCTTTTAGTAAATACTATATACATGTTTGAGTAAATTTTATTGTTTATGAATTGTATAAGGATAATTTAAAATAAAAGAAAAACAAAGGAAAAAAATGATTCATCACATCTAGAAGTACTTTCACATGTAGAAAGACTTCTAGAATAATTCTATCTCTTTCATGCCACATCAACACAAATAGCAGTAGAAAAAATACCGCTGGAGAAATTTTTTTATCGTACAACTTCTACAATCCTACAATTGATATGCTCTAAGCATGTTCTTATGCGAGAAACATTCTGGATTTCAGTTGAGTCAATTTGTGTTTTATACTGACTGGATGTGTAGCCTAGTGCTTGTTTTTAATAACTTTTTTTTTTTAATTTTTTTGTATTGTTTTGTATGTTAAAGGGATTGGTAGTATTTATATTTTTTTTGTCAGTTGTTCATCAAATGTTTTTGAGTTGCGTTCATGATATCCAGTTGGTTCAATATTTTTTATCCAATCTGTTGGAAACAAAATATATATTTATACATATATATGTATATTAAATCAATTAAATTAATTACTTACAAATATTTCACATATTATTACTAATGAAAACAAGTAATTATCTTTCTTCGTATTGAATAGTCTTCTACATATTTGAAAACACCTTCCAACTGCTTCTCCTAATGCAAATATAGATGCAACCTTCGATTTATTGCAAATATAGATGCACCTTCGATTTATTTTTTTAATCACCACTGGTTTCTTTTTTTTTTTATAAAGTTCTTTTTTTTTTCAATTTTTTCGTTTTGTTCTCTGTCGTTTTGTTGACTTTTTTTAATGTTATTTTAACCGACTAGTGTCCGATTTTCAAGGGTAGTTTTTAATTCAAACATGTAGAAACTGATACGGTCTTAAGAATTTTCAAATTTCTAAAAGTTAATTTTTTTCACGTATTTTACTAAATCAATATGTATTTATATAAATGTTCCATGCGGCTGGTATATTTCTAAACTCCATGTGTATAGTAGACAGTTACATAATTTACCCGCATTGTAGTTGCAACTTACTTGTGCATTCAGGCCCAAATCTGAAATCTCTAATTTTTTCATATTAAATAAATAAATAATTAAAATTGATTTCCTTTCTTGTCCAATAATACTCATTCCTGGCTGAAGATTACAAGTGCCCACCACTAGGCATGTTAACATGTTGTGGCACATAGATTTCAATGAATACCTCAGCAAAAAAGAGGAATAAATCATATACATATGTATCTGGAGTACAGCTAAGTTTCATCATATTCTGCCATTGCCATCTTCACAAAATATCATGCTGCCCAATTGCACATCACTATTGGGCCTCAACTGGCCTATAGCACAAATGCTAGTGCATGGTTACGTTATCTAAATGGGAACAATTTTCTGGACCTCTTATCACAAAACTCTCCATTTACTGAAATGACCCTCTCCATAAATATTGACTTTTTTTTATAAATTAAATTGCATTTGTCAATTTTAGTTAAATCAATCATTAATCTTACTTCAGTCCCTCACTCTTTAGAAGGGAAGACTTCACCCTAGTGATTAATGTAGCTTTTTTTTCCAAAGTTCGATCCAATATATTGCTTCAGTCTCTCACTCTTTAGGAGGGAAGAATTCACCCTACTAGTAACTATAGAGTTTTTTACCGTTCGATCTAATCTTACATAAGTGTCTCACTCTTTAGAAACGAAGGTTTCACTCTACCGTGTAGAGTTTTTTACCGTTCTATTAATCTTACTTCAATCCAACGGTGAAAAACTAATTAAATAGTCACCCGTAACGTAAAATCTATGACTTTGAATATGTTCAACGGACCCCCAACAGTTTCGGTCGAGGCTATTTTAGTAAAAACACCTATTAGCTAGAAAGTCAACTTCAAAAACACACTTCTTGGCATTATAGTATATAGCACACTACCCATATGTGATGTCCATGCAACTGATTGCCCTACACTACCTTGTGCTACCATAGTAACCCAAANAGATAAAAAGATCAAAATGGCACCAAATTTTGGTCTGCAGCTTACAATTCTCTTCTTCTCCATTAACATTCACTGCTTATCAAGCGCCCTCAACACAAGCTTCGACAAATGGATATCGTGGCACGTCGAGAATCACTACCACAAAAAATCACCAAAAGATGCCCAATCGGTCGGCCAAAAAACGAGTAATGTCGATTGGAGGCTACGTACAGCAGAGATTAACATAATTGACATCACCGTTAGCCAAGATGGAAATGGCGATTTCAAAACCATTAACGACGCAATTAGCGGCATCCCAATACTCAACACTCGAAGGATCTTAATACATATTAATTCGGGCATTTATAGGTACGTACAATCACCATGACTCCCGTGACTTGATCTGACCGTTAGGCTGGTTGACCAGCTATTATTTTAAATAAAAATATTTAGTTAGTAGGATAAATTAATTGTCGTAAGTTTGTTTACGTTTTTATTTAGGGAAAAGGTGAATATTCCGAGAAGCATGCAATTTATAACGTTGGTCGGGAATGCGATTGAGCCTCCGACTATCACTGGCAACGACACGGCTTCGACTGTGATTGGGAAAGATGGAAAGCAACTTAGGACGTTTCAGAGTGCCACGGTGGCCATAGATGCTGATTACTTCATGGCCATCAACCTTAAATTTGAGGTCATTCGATCAATATTCTTGGTTTAATTATTTACTTACACCATATATATATATATATATATTTATTTGTAAGTAAATAGAAGTGTATATTTTATCTATGTTACATAGTAAAACGGGAAAGGCATTCATAAGATTCTTGTCCCACCTTTAGAGCCACATCCAGACATAATCACGGGTTTGCTATGACATAGAACAAAACTGGAGGCACTAGAGTTGGATTTAAAATAAATTCCAACTTACGACTAAGATAGGATTAAAAATTGATTCAAACTTTTTTTTAAAAAAAAAAAAAAGAAAAAACACTAAGATATTATCACTTTATCAAATGCAATACTATTATTAATACAAAAATTCTATGAAGCCATCGGATGATTTTCTTATGGAGTCATCCACCACTTAATATATTGACACATGTCTAAATTGTATTTATTGCAGAACACGTGTCAATACACTATTGGTGAATAAGTGTGGATTGCTCCATAAATCGAATCATCCGATTCAAAATTGATTATTAATAACTGACTAGTTTGTATATTTGTTTGTGAGTCGATGATAAATTAGCATATTTTACCCCATTTGGAGTTTGACCAATTAAATCCATTAATTAGCCTTTCTGATAAGGAGCTTATTTGTTAGTTTTTTCACCAAAAATGATAATTATAAAAAACGTTCAAAGAACATTGTGGAAAAAAAAAAAAGAAAAAAACGATACACATAACAAATTTGATTTTTTACTATTTATCAAAAACATATTTGACAAACTGTTGATAATTGAGTCCACCAGTCAAACCTGCTAGTACATTTCTCTATACGATATTCACTAATTTAGTCAATTATCCGCTATCAGTCAATTACCAAACAAGACCATTACTTTTTAGAATATGTCATTTTAATTTGAAAATATGTGTATCCATAAAAAAATTATAAATGTCATGTCCAGACATACAACATTACGGAAAAGAAAAATAATAACAAGAAGCACAAACAATCATATTCAATTTCTAGCAACAGTAAATTGTGAAAATCACTAGTCGAATAAATCTTGAATAAGGAATACAAGTTTTTCTCCGGTGAAAATGCAGAACACGGCTCCTCACGTGGTGGGGACGGCGGGCGGGCAAGCGGTGGCGCTACGGATATCCGGAAGCAAGGCCGCCTTTTACAATTGCAGTTTCTACGGCGGCCAAGACACTCTTTACGATCACAAAGGCCTTCACTATTTCAGTAATTGCTTCATACAGGGCTCTGTGGACTTTATCTTCGGCTATGGGACGTCGCTCTATGAGGTTTGTTAGGCCCATTTCTAATAATCAATTGGGCCTATTGGGTCTAAGTACTTATTATTGAGCTTTGACCTATAAAAACAAACTTAGTGGGCCGAAGTGAAGAGTACTCTCACCCAATATATTTTGTAACAAGGATCTGCAAAAAATTATGCCTATATTGAGACATACAAAAACTTGCTACTTGGTAGTGTTTATGTGTCTGTTTGAAAGTACATTCTTAAAAACTAGTGCGTGGCCCGTGCGATGCACGGGAAAACAATATTACGATTGTATTATAAATTAATTATATAAATAATATTAATTATGATTTATTCATTGTTTTTAAATTAAACCGGGTTGGACACAGTCCGACCGGATAGACCGAGAACCGGTTTATAACCAGTCTAGTTCGCTTGAATAAAATATTTGCTCTCGAATTCGTCAACACCAGTCGGTTGGACTGGTAGGATCGATTTTCTAAATAAATTTTGTTATATTTAAAATTATTTTAAATAAAATTACATATTTAAATAAAATAGAGATTTATAAATTATTTATCAATTACTTTAAACATTTGAATTTATAAATTGTTTAGATATCTAAGTAACACATTTTATTTAAATTTATTACGAAAAGTACTATATATATATATTAAAATATTTATAAATTAAAATATGAACAAACCACAAGTGATTTAATAAAATAAGTTGATCGTTTCGATGATGGTCCAGTTCTGAAAACCTTATATTTATTGTATATTGATAAATATTTTAATAAAATATTATTTAATTCACATAAATATTAATAAAATGATATCTAAATATTCATAAATCATTAAACATGTTGTAATAAAGTATTGTTAATACGATTATTTGAGGTTTGGACTACATCACATTCACGTAATAAAATATTTTTAATATAAAATTTAAATTTAGGTTCAATAATCGATTTTGTGTGGTCGAACAAATACATAACTTAAGTCACCTGGGACCAACCAAGTTGTGTCAAGTTTTTTTGACTATTTTAAATATCACCTAAAAGTAATTCAATCAACCTGGGCAGTACCCTAGTTCAATCACCCGATTGATCCGGAGAAATTTTCTTATTTTCTTTACATATTTTAAATTTTATGAAATAAAAATATTTTATGATTCATATAATAAATGTCTACACCAAATGAAAATATATTAAGATTATAAATTATATATCTAAAGATGAATAAATTATTTTTACTTTATGCATATTAATACAAAATAAACATAGTAATTTTTAAAAAATAAAGATTAATTGATTGATTATACAATTTAAAGAATATTTTTAGCGTTCAATATTTTTTTTTAAAGGCACAAATATAAAGACTGAGATTTTAAAGTTTTTGTTATATTTTGAATTGAGATTTTAATGTTTTTCGTTGTTTCTAAGAAAAAAATAAAAATAAAAACTTATACACTTAATAAATCTTTGCCGGATTTTTTAAATAATAAAATGAACTAAAGCTCAAAATTTAAGGTAGCATTTAATGCTGTATGATTTTTTAAAAAAAAAATAAGAAAAATAATGAAACTTACTATTTATAGGCTGCATTAAATTTTGACCTATTTTTTTGCTACTATTTTTGGTAAATGTTAATTCTTATTATATATATATAGATTAAATTTTTAATTGAACTACAAAATAGATTTTCTCAAAAAATATCTAGCATTTACTATTACGAAATGGGCACGTGCAGAATTGCTACTTGAACTCGGTAGCCAAGAAGGTGGCTTCAGTCACGGCTCAAAAGCGCACAAACTCATCGCTTTCAAGTGGGTTTTCATTCAAAAATTGCACCATAACTGGGTCGGGCTCAATCTACCTTGGCCGGGCATGGGCCGATTATTCGAGGGTTGTTTTCTCCTACACTTTCTTGGACAAAATCGTCATTCCAGAAGGATGGAGCGATTGGGGCGATAAAAGTCGCGACCAGTAAGTCCATAACCTAACAAGTCAAAATTGATTATTGATTAATTATTATTTTATGTCACACTTTATATAGTTCCAAACAAATGTATATACACACACACAACAAAACCTTGTTATTGACTAATTACTACTTTAATTTTGGGTAATTATGAATATATAGGAAAGTGTATTATGGAGAGTACAAATGCAGCGGGGCAGGTTCTAACCTCACCGGACGAGTTGCCTGGGCAAGAGCACTCACCGATGAGGAGGCCAAGCCGTTCATTGGCACATATTTCGTCCAAGGGGACACGTGGCTTATTCACCCGTCAGCTTATCAGATTTAATTAATTTGTTTTAATCACTTGTTAGTACAAAATAATACATAGCCATACATATTGTATGTGTGCGAATTTAAATGTCCCATGACATCTGTATAAAGATGGGTGACCTTTATATTATTAACTATTGTAATAAAAATGATTAAAATATTAATTTAACATAAATTCTTGTGTGAGCTAGTTTAACATTTACTTGGATCGACTCGTCATACTTTAACAAAAACTTATATTTTGAAATATCATATTTTTATGTATGTTGATTTTTAAATTATGATATGTATATCTGTGAAAATAATATGTATAGGCTTAATAGTTAGACCAACTAACATAAGACTTCCCATTAAACTCCTTTATTCTAATTATTCCTAATTGTTGTATCTATAATTAGATCGAATCCAGTTTACCAAAAACGGGCAAGCATTTTGGTTGAATAATTATTGGTCATAATTATTAATCACGTCACAGGCGAAAATAAGAGTTGCTTACCAGCAAACTAGGGTTTTCATGAGGCCTACTTATAATAATCATAATGCAAAATGTAGCCTTGTTATAATATACTAGTACGAATCTCGTGCGATAAACAGGTAAGAAATATTCATTAATATTTATAAATCATAAATGTTCATTAATAATATTTATAAATTAGAAATATAGAATCAATATATAATACAATTTATCTATATTAATTTGTTGAAAATGGTGTATGAAATTTAAATTGTGCAAAATTATATAAAACATGTCTATTTAAAATTAGTACACGACCCGTACATAAGAAGGTACATTATATTCATTTCAAAATAGGTGTCATTTTAAAAATTTTATTCAAAAATTCGATTTGACTACAATGTGATTTAAGTAAAAACAAACTTTTATACACACATACACACCAAATAATTTGATATGTTCCAAGCACATTTACAAAGAAGAATCGACCATAGTATTATCCAGATTTTTTTTTCATTTATATCGAGTAAGTGCTTAGTAATATGAAAAAAAAAATTGAGATACCATTTATCACCAAGCGGATACATTAGATCAATATATAATATACCAAATAATTCGATTTCATACTTTATTAATAAAATACAAAAAATGATATTCAGTTTAATCACGAAATTAATTGCACAACGTACAACACATTTATGATAGATAAAAATAAAAAATACCCAAAAAATAGTTATTAAAAAATAATTAAATAGAAACTACCAATAACAGATTTATTTTAAAATAGTTTTATTAGAAAGTATAATTAAATAAATTAACCGAATTCACACGATCTGCGTAATTAGGGTATCTTAAAAATGTAAATTTTTACGGTCAAATTATTTCCTTAATTATCCAAGATTTGAGCAATTAAATACACAAAAAATGAATAACATTTATTAAATAATATTTAAAACACAATCTTTTTAGAATAGTTTTTGGCAAACTGCATAATTAATTACTGTTGTCGATATTTCTATAATTGTAGTAACTATTTACGGATTGAATAAAAATCAATCGGATTTACACAATTTGCGTAATTAAGGTATATTAAAAATGTATTTTACAAAAGAATTATACGAAAAATATAAAACACTTATCAAATAATAAGTTATACAATTTAGTTGAAAATTTTTTACTAAATCACATAATTGATATTGTAGCCGAAATTCCCATATTTGGGTAAATCAGCCAATTCACATGATTTGAGTATTTAAGATATTTTAAAAATGAATTAACCGCAAGTGATTATTTGAAATATATCATAAATTTGAGTAATTAAGGTATCTTAAAAATGCATTTTTATATGACTTAATTATTTCCTTAAATACTGAGCCGCAATTTTCTATAACTGATTATTTAAAATATACCATAAATTGCTAAAATAATTTCCCAAAATAGTAAATACATTTTTTTAGAGGGAAATAGTTACTATTTAAAAAATAATTAAACCTTTTTATACTGGTACGAATCCCGTGTGATGCACGGGTAAGTGATATTCATTAATATTTGTAAATAAAAAATTCTCATTAAATAATATTTATAAATTAAAAATAGAATCAATATGTAATACAATTTACCTATATTAATTCATTGAAAATACTAAATTTAGATTGTGAAAAATTATATAAAAATATCTATTTAAAATTAATACACTACTCGTGTTGTGCACATATAATAAAATTGTTATATTTGTTTCAAAATAAGTGTCATTTCAAAAATTTTATTCAAAAAATTAATTTGATTATAATGTGATTCCATAACATAATTATTATGGTAAAAATTTATCATTTATGTGAATAATAAGTATAAATATAAAATTGATATTGTCTCAGTAATTAAAATGAATTTATTTATGTATAAACTATCCAAATAAAAAAATTTAAGTAGCTGAGTAATTTATTAAACTATAAATAATTGACTATTATATTTACGTCTAAGTTAATATTGACCCGTAAGTTATAAATAATTATTTATTTGATTTTTAATTTTTAATTAAAATCTTATTGTTTTTTTGTCAATATATTATAAATCAAATTTAAACCATGCAACTAATAAGGTTAATAGCCGCAAGTTGTGTTAATATACCAAATTTAAATTGTGCAACTAATAAAGGTAATAGACACAATATTTACCAAAATGAATTTGTACATTAATTACATTGATTTTTTTAATTTAAATTTCAAATGATTGGTTGCCACTTTTCAAAAATATTTAAAAACGTTACTAATAAAGGTAAAATTGATTTATTTTTTCGGGATTTTAATTACTATTAGTAAATAGAAACTTATATATATATATATATATAGATTACAAAAATAATACTAATAATAGTTTTTTCACATAACTTTATCATGAAATAAAGTTAATTGGTTCACATATTTATGTCAAAAAATAAAGTTAGTTGGGTCTTATAATGAGAAATTAACTAATAAGTGAGCCTTAAATTGAGAATAACTTAAAATGTAAGTTTTCTATTGACAAAGAATAAAATATAGGTCTTATATTGTTACAATTTAAAAAAGTCTGGTTTTGTAATGGAATTTTTCCCTAAAAAAATAACTCAAGAAATGCAGACACCTCAAAAAATTGTTAAAAACATTATATGAAAAATATGTAGAATGTAAAAAAAAAAAAAAATGTATGAACAATATGTAGTTAATTCATTAGACAGGAATGTTTATTCATTGAAGTTCTTAAAATGAAAGCGTGACTGGATTTTTATAGGGAATTTACTCATCGATTTAATTGCTAAACAAAATCAAAGTAGTTTTCGTCAGATATAACCCCTGTAAATACTGAATGAAAATAGTGAAAGTATATTTTACAATTAATCTTATTTTTGAAAAATATGTTTGCAGCTTAGGTTATGTTGTAAAGTAGTTGACTGAATATTCAAGGAATATCTTCAATCCGGTAGGTTATGTTGCAAAGTAGATGACTGAATATTTAAGCAACATTTTCATCCGGAATTCTATGTAATTTGCATTAGAAAAGTTAAAATAAACAGATTTCAGTAGAGTTGATTTGGAATTAATAATTTTAATAATTAAACTTTCATGGAGAATGATATTGTACATTTTTTAAACATTGAATGTTGACAGATTATCCATCACATTAAAGAAAACATATATTTGTCAATATTCTTTTATCTCATTTTTTTTTTAAAAAAATTATGCTACCAAATGCTTGGCTAATAATCAATTAATATAAATTCATCTAAATATCAAATTCGGATTGGATATAAATGCTAACATATATGCAAAGTACTCGGAAAATGTTCAACCAAATATTTCAATCCGCTATTTCTTAGGATTCTGTCAACAAATAAAAATTACTCCCTCCGTTTTTTATTAAATGTCGTTTTGACTTTTTTGATTCATCCATTTTGCTACGTATCTAGACATATTTAATGTCTAGATACGTAACAAAATGGATGAATCAAAAAAGTCAAAACGACATCTAATTTGAAACAGAGGGAGTAAATTGAAAAGGAAGATGTTATTTTTGTCAAATAGAATTTTAGCACCGATTTCGGTTTCTTTTTTTTTTTGGAAAGATTTCAAATCAAATTAGCATTGATTGACTTTATTTTCATACCAAAATAAATTTCACCGATTTTATACCATAAATTACTTTATTAATTTCCCGATATAGTAAATATAATTTTTTGGCGGGAAATAGTTACTATTTTAAAAATAATCAAACTTTTTTTTATATATATAAATGTCGTGATATAGCTGTCATTTTTATTGTCCCTATTGGTATGATTGATCAAGGCAACTAACATTTCTTTTCTCTTCTACTTATTATTCCTCAATGCGCGAGATAATTATACACAAGATTTTGTATGATATATTGTGTGTGGACGCTACACTTTGGGGAAGAAAGAAAAAATGATCAAATAACTAATAAAGCTCGGGTAATTTGAAATTATTGTATATCAATCTTGCTTAAGAGAAAAAAAAATCTTGCTTAAGAGAATTTTTGAATTATTAAGCACTGGATTAGACAAAGTGCACACTAAATTCTACAAAATCTCTATTAACCTTAGAAAAAGATTATGTGTTAGTTGAATATTATATATATATAGCCTTTTGAATTAGTTGGAATCAAAGCCCGGTTTGTGGGGTCGGTTCACCTCATTGCTCGGTAGAGCAGGTCGATGTAGTTCAGGTTAGGGTCCTAAAATGATCTCAAATGTATGATAGAGAGAATTCATTCTAATATATCATTATTTTCTAAGGATAACCAAACTAACGTATGCAACACATCAAATATGATTGCATTTTTTTTCCAATTATTGAAATACATGAAAGACATATTTCTAATAGTTCAGTAAATGTGGAACAACTTGCAATAATTTTATATATATATATATATATATATATATATATATATATATATACTACCTCCTTTTGTATACTGTTAAAATATTAATATCTCACAATAAAAATATATATTTTTTATTAAAAATATGCATATGTTTAATGGTTGGACTTCATATATCAATAGATCATCTCCCGCAAGAATAGTATTTAGGTGCAAATAATTTATATCCCCTTTATATATAATTCTCCAATGTGCTGAGACTAAGTGGCACGTGAATGATTCGGGATCTTATGTGGCAAAATTTCATGTTTCATTATTGGTTGGATAGATTTTAATTTACTTCCAATCCATAAATAATTAGGTTCGGATTATCCATAAACATGTTAATTTTTTATGGTTATTTTACATGTATTAAGTGCACTTTAATATCATTTCCTATTATAATTATTAAATTTTAAATGTATTTTAAAAGTTAATAACTTTTGTATTTTTTATCAGCTTCACATATATAATATATCAAATTAATCATCTCTTGATTAGCTTCGATTTGACATCCATATTGTATTTATAAAATAAATAAATTATATTTATCTTCTTAAAATTATGTATTAATGTTAATTAGAAAAATACAATTATTTAACAATTAATATATTTATGTTTAAAATAATCATATGATATAAGTTAAAAAAATTATCAGTAACACATGTAAATCGCACAAGAAATAACTTTTATATTAAAATATATAATAAAATATATTTTTTATAAGAAAATATTTAAATCTTAAAACAAATTTTCCTTATTAGTTTTATAATTTAAGAATAATTTTTAACAAGAACTCGTGTAATACATGGGTGTTTTAATAGTTCCAAATAAAACACATATGATGTATCTATGCTTTGTTTATTTCCTATTTTCAATATTATGCTAAATTAACACTAGGGAACTACTCACATGCCAGAGATTTTGTGGGTTCTCTTCCCTTACCATAATTAGACATTGACATAGAAGACCACTTAAATTATGAACCCTTTTAATCAACTTGCGCGGACTAGCTAATCACAACTGCCATCTTTTTAATTATTAGTTAATTAAGCTGCAAGAAGTAGGAGCTTTCAATATCAACACTAAAATCAATCTGGTTGAGAGTTAATTACGTGACAAGTGGGATCCCACGTATAACATGAATAATTATATTAAATAATGTGGCAATTGCCGGTGATTAAGACATGGTACCAAGTAATAACGCATGTTGATCACAGCAAATAAACAAAGTGGATTATTATTATGTTAATCATATTGTAGTTAGACCGTCAAATCGACAAGATGTACGTTTGCATATGCCATAAGCACTAGCTGTCATGTTATTGCTCTTAATGAGAGCCAATATATAACCCAACACATCCTGATTAAATTTGCCCAACTTGATAATTAGTGGCCCATTTAATATAATTTTATATCATGTAGCAGAATGAAATAAGGTGATTGTTATGATTATATTTATGGCGAAGAACTGCGGCGCACATTCTCGCAAAAAATAAATAAATAAATAAATAAATTAAATTTTGAATTAGGGCCATAATTAGTAAGTGTGTACATGGTGAATGTCAAAGGTTGCTTTTATTAGTATAAAGAGAGTATGACATGCTTTTTGGCCAACTCCTTAAATCATGGAACAAATTAGTTACTCTTACACTTAGATTCCTCCAAAAGAAATACTTTTTCCACTTTTTTATAGCATTTGGCTAACAACATTATATGCTAATCTCTTGCTACATATAAATTGATGAATTTATAAACTTATACCTATTACCATAAAAAACTATTCACTTGCTACATATAAATTGATGAATTTATAAACTTATACCTATTACCATAAAAAACTATTCACCTATCCACCGTTAGCATATTATGATGTTTCAATCAACCACGTGTCAATATCTTGTGATATTTCAGTTGTATATTTACAATGTATGGTATATTAATCTTGTATCATATCAGTTGGTATATATATTAACTTGTATTCACCGCTGATAAAGAGAGTGAGATTATTGAATTAACGTAATTGTCACATTTGAGCACGTTTTCATGTTTGATAGTACATACACACCTAAGATTAACGGACAAAAATATAATAGATTTGCAGAAAAATCAAGCACGATTTGATAATTGATTAAAGAGAAAATCGTAAAAGCTAGTTCACTGATTACCCATACCAATTTTAGTTCACTTAACACTCTAGTAAAAACTAGCATAAGTACTCTTATCAATAAGTAAAACTTAAATATAATTCATGGAAACTCAACTAAAAATACCTAGCACACATTTCACATTACTTCCATCTCTTGATGAGGACAACGGCTCACATCAAAACTCGTCCATCTCTCACAATAACATGCATACACGTATAAGCTCAACTACACACTACATCCACCAAGCCCTATCTTCTACATTCATAACAATCACAAATAATTTCCCCCCAAAACTAAAACAAAAAAATCAAACAAGCAAAAATTACAAAAATCTCAAACCCTAAACATATTGAGTCGATTATCGGCCAATCTCAACAAGTACGCGGCCCTCTTGTACTCCCCCCACGTGAACTCCCTATAAAGGCTCGGTTTCTCCTCCGACACCATCTCCTCCACTGGCGACACGCGCGCGTCTAACGACGGCGCCGCGAAATACATCATCGACATCCTCTTATTATTCCCAACCGAGCCCGAAGACAAAACCGCCCGATGCCTCACGCTCGTGAACTTCCCGTTCGTCAGCGCCTCCAACGAGTCCCCCACCAACACGCACAGTTTTTCCGAGTCAGGAGGAATCGGGACCCACAACCCGTCCCCCGACAAGATCTGAAGCCCCCAAACGTCGTTCGACCATAGGATCGTCAACACTTGTGGGTCCGTGTGCTCCCCAAAACCGATCCTCGGCTTATGATGATCGGATGCCACGTCACCAGACGAAGGGTAGTGGTTGATTCGAAAGCACGAGTCAATGCTGCTTGGGTTTCTGATGAGGTGGCTGAAAGTGGATTTGTCGGGGACCCACAAGCCCTCGGCCGCGATTTCGAGGATGTCACATGCGAGGTTGCTGACGTCGCGGACGTAATCATTGACTGCACGACTGAAGGAGAAATTAAGGACACAACGTAAATGATTTAGGTTGAGAAAGGAAGAAAAAGGTGGTGAAGGTGAAAGTGCGTGGAGAATAATTAAAATCATGCACCTTTTTGAAAAAATTAAAAAAAATGAAATCGTATAATACTATGTTTGCTGCATTAAGGTACAACAGATTCTCACAACTATAAATGGAAACCTGGCATTGATTAGTGTGTTGACTTTTTTTCGATCTTTATTAGTAAAGGTAGATGTTTTGGGACCCCATTTCTCATTTATGTGACAGCTATGCAAGTGTTGGCTTGCTTTCAAAATTTTGAAATTATATACTCCCTCCTATTCATAATAAGTGTCGTTTTGGGAAATTGCACACTAATTAAGAATAATTTTTTTGTCAATAATAACCCTCATTAATGAAGATAGAGATGAATATTTTTACAAAAAAAAGATGAAGAGAATATGAAAAGACTAGTATATTTATTAACTAAATGAGGGTAACAATGGAAACATATATACAAAAGATCTAAAACGACATTTATTTTGGTTAATAGTTGATAAAGTTAAAATGACATTTAAAAAGAATAGGAGGTAGTAGTTATTATGTCTACAGTGATTGGATTTTCTGTTCTATTTTCGTATAAATAATTCGTTGAAGAAAACACAAAATGGAATACGTACAAAATAGGACTGGAAAAAGGAAAATCTCACTCCCTTTGTGCACATGAAAATTTTGGCACTAGCAAAGTTCAATGTCTACAATTTTAACTTCGTCTTTAACTATGTTTGGTAAATCTAGCTATATATATATATTTGCATGAGTCATTCATTTGGCTCAGTGGATAACATGTACCAGAAATTGATACATGAAACCCCATTTGTTTTATATATTCCAAATCCAGTGTTGATTAATTCCCACAAATATTTAGATAATAATTTCATAGTCCAGATTGTTATGATTAAATATTTAAATAACAGCATTGTAGTTCTAGCCTGGCAAGGAAACATGTTATGTAAGATAAATTAAACAACTAATAACTGTCTACAGCCGACTTAATTATTCCTTAACTCATTCACACAACAAGTAATTAACTATCTTATTCACAGGAGACCAAAGAGAAGTTTGTGCTTATATGCAATCGTATATAGGAATTAATTATTCACAATAATTAGTATAATTATTAAAATTTCCAAAAACTAAAAATGACTTAATTAAATTACCTGAACTTTGTTGGATCACTGGAGAGAGATTTGACCCTCTGTGAGACCAAATGAGGATTGGCTTCCAATAGAATATACTCGAGCTCGCCTTTATCACCATTGAACCCAATATCCTTGCAGCCGTATCCAAATGGGCTCGGCTGCCTGGGCCGGGCCCGTTGCTTGTCGCATGCGGACTTCGAGAAAAACTCGAGGCCTTCCTTTTCGACCCGAGAGATCACCTCCCAGGAAATCCCGTGGTTCTCGACCTGGAAAAACCCAAATTCTTCGCATGCTTTTACAACTAAATCGCACAATTTGGGCCTCTCGAGAGCAAGATCTATAACCGGGATCCCGAGGGCACGAGCCTTTTTGCTTCTCATGGGAGACGAAGAAGAAGAAGATAGATTGAGAAGAATAAGGTGGAATTAATGAATTAATTTGTGTGTGTGTGNAATGGTTTAGGCTTTTTAGCGCAAGCTCGCGCGCGGGGTCTAAATAGAGAGCGGAATTGATTGTTTATTTAATTATTTAAACATGTCGTTCGTTATGGGTATGATTTTAAAAAATTAGTACATGAAGGTGAGAGTACGTGACTCTCAGTAACATATGCTATTAAATTAATTAGCCACAGAGAATAAAATCCATTTGGTTTCTGACAAAATATTAGAAAAAAAAATAAAAAATAATGTAGCTTGAATACTGAGGACAATAATATATACTATTTGAATGCAAAAAGTATTTTTGCATAAAATAAGGATAAAATTATCGAGATAAATTATAGCATTGTCAATTTATCTTAACTCTTGATAAAAAAAAAATGGGGGAAAAAACTCTTGGGACAAGGTTTGATTTGCCTAACTGTTAAATATTTAATTCATTAAGTTGGGACAAAGTTTTTTTTGTTATGAAGAAATTTATTTATTATGCACTTGGTGAGCTTATTATTAACAAACGTGATTAATTATATGGGGCCTTATATTGGCCTAGCAAAGTTTTATTCTCTTTAAGGGAAAAAAAAATATTAAAAGAATCTGGATTAATCTAATAATTTTCCTGATCCACAAAGTATATATTCAAATCATGGAAAGGAAGTAACTTTTAATTGGACCGATTTATTCTAGCATGTTGACTGGACCGAAGGAGAATCTATAACTGTTCGTGGTCGGATATAAGTACAAAATCAAGATATTTTTTTCTGAAAATTAGGTATATGAAATCCTAACATATATGAGAATGATAATAATCATTGTATTTACTTAATTTAAACATATTTGACCAGTCCAGAGCTCCAACACATTTTTCCAGCTCTCTTGACTATACCAATTTTCAAAACAAGAAATATCAAACATTACCTAAATGCAGCATCTATTAAGACATAAATTGGGTGTTCTTGCGGGCTAAGAGCATCTCCAATGCTATGGTTTTGAAAGATAATAATTTTTAACACATGTCAATTAATGATTGTAATGTTAATCCACATAGAAATAATGTTAAAAGACTAAAAATTTGAATCAAACTAGTATCTCCAATGCATCAATTTGATAAGAATTTATTTGTATAGGTGGACCAATTATAATAATTCATTAATACAAGAATAATACAAAATTAAACCAAATATAAAATGAATTAATGAGTCATCATGTTCACCATGGTGTTAGATATTAGAAAGTGAGTGTAACATTGTCAACATTAAATGACATCCACATCATCATGAAAGAGCTAATGACAAGATACATTGGAGAATAAATTAGTATCAAACTTTCAAAAATTGATGATATGGATAAATTTTTGCAATGTCAAAAATCACATTGGAGATGCTCTTAGCCAAGACGAACTCGAGTGGATAATTGATAATTGATTGAAGTATTTTTATTAATACGTGTCAAACTTCTAATTCACCCCAAAATTGTAATTTAGCCTAAATGATGGTTACTAAACAAGGTACAATTCTACTAGAAATGGCACTAATCATCCAGTTTTTATTATTGATAATCACAATTCACACGCAGTCACATTCATACGATACGAGTGTTTGTAATAGTCATAAGATAAAATAAATTTTCCAATCATGTGTTGCATATTTTTTAAACTTTAACTTTAGAATTAATTTTAATATACCAAAATGAATTAAGGGGGAAAACAAAGTAGTTAATTAAGCGACAGCTGCACTTGTCACGTCCCATAGGGCTGTAGACTTTTAGTAATTGTCTCACTTCTGTCACCCACACGCAATAGATATTTTACACGCTTTCAATTCGGAAAACGCGTCTTAATCCCTACCCTTAATTTGTGTTAAGAAATCAAAGGTTTCCCATTGGTCAATTTTGACCTTTCCTTTTTGAAAAAAAAAAAGTCTTATTCACACGACCAAAGTAATAGCCCATTGAAAAATGAAGATTAATGTGATGTAAAAGGCACCTTCTTTGAGTAATTTATTGAGTTAATTGCAGCTGTTCGTGTTTAAAGTGTGAAAATTTGCACGAGTAGTTGACGCCTCTTAAACATTGTGTGATATGTGTAACATCCTTAAAGTTTGTTGCAATCCATGCAATCTAAGGTACTTAATTTAAAGTCTTGAAAGTTGAGAATTGTATAGGGAGTATACAAGACCGAGAAAAAAAATACTCCACATTTATAGAAGCATTTCAAAATTAAGTACTCCTATTAGAATGCAATAAATCATTAACAGTCATATACTTTATAAAATTTAATAAATATAAAAATAATTTAAGCGGCGGAATTGGCACATCGTATTGCACGAGTCACGATACATCGCATCCACTAGACTTTTACAAAATCTTATAGTAGCCTCGTAGTTCTATATACAGTGACGGAGCCACATTGGGCCAGGGAGGCCATGAACTTGTTGATATCGAATCCAATAATCAGAATTAAGGCAAAAAAGGTCGGAACTGACATCTAAAACCGACGCAAATAAACCGACATCAAGTCAACCGACTACCATAAAGTGAGCATTCCAACAGAAAATAATCATTAGAAGCATCTGATTGGACCAACAAAACAAAAGGCAATCATTGATGTTTCCCGCCGCCTCAAGATGAAGCAGCTCAACATTAAATGCGTCCCTATCCATTTCGAGGAAGAGGACAAAAGTCACCGTACTATAAATAGCGGAATTTATGATAGTACGAGGATCCGATCTTTTCGATCATATTGTACACGAACTTAAGACAACCTCGGTTTTCCTCTTGAAACCGACTTCTGTACTCTTGTGAACATAATCAATAATATCCAGTTTAACCTTTATCTTCATTCCTAAAACATCAACTGTGTTTAATTTTAAGTTGCTAATTCAGAACGGCAACAGTTTGGCGCTAGAAGGAGGGGCGGCCGGCTCACACGTTCCTTGTCAATCGATTGTCTTGCAAACAACACTCAAAGGATGTCAAATTCTGGGCGAAATGAACGTAATCCTGACCCTGGGATCAATCGTCATCCAACTCATACAACCGGAACTTCTGCCGTGCCATCTACATCAATTGATTATTCAGTTCTATTTCAAGATCCAGAGTTCTTGAAAAACTTAACTGATTTTATGGCACGAACAAGAATAGAATCAACTACAGCGGCTAATCCTCAAACTCGCTCAACTCCAGTTCCACGAAGAAATAATATTCCTGCAACATCACACGCAACATCTCATCAACATACACATGAATCGCAACATGCTGCAACGATTCAAAATCGTGGTGTAGTTCCAGTACAAACTCGAGTTCCAGAACCAGCGCGATCAGAAGCGACAGCAGAAAGCCACTCTGGACATCGACCACGACAGCCTACTCCGTCGCTACCAGAACTATCACGACATGATCAACCTTCTGATTTACGACACACTCTTGAACAAACTCATGCTCGTCGTGGGCAGAATGAATTACGTCGTTTGATTGAAAGAAATCGTCAAAGACGCGAATCAGAAGAGTTAGAAATGTTGAGAAAAAGAATTGCTGAGCTGGAGACTTGTCAAGGTGAACATGGAGAATCACCACGACGAACTCCAATGATGGAAGAGACATATCAAGAGGTTGGAACTCCCTTAGCTCCTCACCTGACCAGAGAACCAATCCCAACAAAAGTGAAAGTTCCGCAAATCGGCTTATATGATGGAACTTCTGATCCTGACGCCCATCTCGGTCAGTACATGTCTTGGATGGATCTCCATGGAGCGAACGAAGCACTCAGATGTCGGATGTTTTCCTTAACTTTGGGGCCACGAGCTCAAAAATGGTATCATTCTCTATCTCGGTATTCGATCTCCACGTGGCAGCAGTTGAGAACAGCTTTTCGCTCTCATTTTATCGGGGCCCGAGTATCTTTAATTCCCAAAGAGTCAATTGCAAATATTGTACAAAAAGATGATGAAAGTGTGAAAGACTACATTACTCGGTTCAACGAACGCATACAAAATATGGAGCAATGCCATCCCGAAACACTATTGGTCACAGCTATAGCCGGGTTGAAGCCAAATTCGTTGTTCCGATGGAGTATATGTCAAAACAAACCGACTTCATTTCAAGATTTTCTAGCTCGGGCTCAACAGCATATTTTAGCCGAAGAATCGATGTCGGTTCTTAATATCGACTTTTCTTCATTAAAGTCGGAAGTCGGGCAAGAATCAAAAAAGAAGAAGAAATTTTTCAAGCCAAATAAGTCTCGATTCGGGAATCCAAAAATACCCGAAGTCCAAGAAGCAAGAACTAGATATCTTAACGAAGTTAAATCCAGCTACCAGACGGTATTCTCGGCAGGAGCAGCAACAATATTTGAGGAATTGAAAGGGAAGGGAATTCTTCCTGATCCTCGACCTGTCAGAACACCCGAGGAAAAACTTGACAAAACGAGATATTGTTCATATCATAAGTCGGCAGGCCATAATACTGATGAATGTCTCGGTTTACTTTCTGCCTTGTTGCGACTTATTGGACATCCCCAAGTCCAAAGATTTGCCAAGAATGTTGATTATAAACGAAAAGGAAGAATGCCAGACATACCAGACGATGAAGACGATGAAGAGCGTCCAATTAATCCAAAACGGGTGAGATCAAATGAGAAAGAAATATATATGACAGATCAACGAGAAAAAGACTCCACTGAAATAATGTATCGAGGAGAATACTATAATCCTGACAACTCACACCATGTACCCCGGGTTAATAACAGCAGCAATGCAACGTCGGAATCACGAAGGCAAATAAAAGCGTACGCACGAAAAGCTTTTAACTCGGGAAAAACAGTTCTAACTACCGACCTCCGAGATAAAATTAATGCTCGGAACAATTGCCCGATTACATTCAATGTTGATGATGCGAGTTATTTTGCTCACCCTCATGCTGATCCCTTAATAATCACGGCACCCATCTGTGGAATACCGATACATCGTATGTTGGTGGACACTGGAGCGTATTCAAGTATTATGATAT